CACACGAATGGAAACTGATCTGAAGAGTGTTTTGTCTCTAGCTCATTCCCTGCTCTGCACTGTTTACTTAACTCCACCTTCCTTTGAGCCTCCATCTATTTTTTTTTTTAAATGGCAGCACAGATGTGTTCAAATTCAGGTTTAGCGTGGATATAATTCAATATTAGCAGGAATAATAAGAACATTTCTCAAGACTAGACTGATGCCTGGCAAACTACATTTAATTAGACATATACACTGCACTACATGCAGGTACCAAGAACATGTGGTACTGAGCCTGTAAGGTATTTAGAGTTCAGGTCGTCTCACTGTCTCCATCAAGAGAAGGGAAAAGGCACGACAGCTGCCAGTCTGATGGACACGTATCTAAACCAACACTTGCACCTACTGTCGTGGCTGGATATGTGACTGACGCAGCTCCGGGAGAAGTACCATGCTGAAGGCAATGACAGCGGGGTCTCACCTGGGATTAGAATCTACAGCCTTTCAGTGTGAAGTACAGAGCCCTGACCTCTGCTCCACTCTGCAACCCCTGAGTTATTCATCTATCCAAACATTAAACTCTATACAGAAAGGTTTGCCACTTGAGAAAAAAAAAAAGTTAAAATCATTGCAATGTATGATTGGGAAAACAGTGTTCAATTCCGGTCACCATGTAGAGGCTGGGAATACTGAAAAACCTTAAGAAGACTTTATAATTCACAGAGTAACTATGGTTTAGATTAGCTTCAAAAAAGCTAGGAGCCTTTTCTAAAAAATTTCCATACAGCAGCAGTTTTTAGCGACAGATAAGGATGAATTTATCTAACTGCTCATGTGGAACAAAGGAACACTGTACTCGTTCTTCCTCGAGTGCTGAAGTCTTCAGTGCAGTTTAAAAAAAGCTCTTTTCTATGATCACCTTCTGTTGTTCTGTTTGGAACGAGTGCCATGTGGAATGAGGACTTGACAGCAGCTCGTCTAAAAAATAAGATGATAATCCAGTGCAGAGTAGGTGCACCCCAAACACACAACTCCAGACAGGAGCTCACAGTGCAGTTAAGTGTAAGAGAAATGACCATTTTCAAAAACAGTTACACTTAGGCACACTCCTTGTTTAATCCTGCAAATTAAATCCCGACACAGATATGCTTCTTTATATTTGTTTTCATCTAAAACTCGACAACCAACTTATAAATCAAAGTCTTTTAGATCTTGGCTGCAGGAATACTGCACAACGCTTTACAAAAAAGCAGGCAGAGCAGTCTTCCATGACTGCTTGTGGGGGGAAAAAAAAAGACCTTTTCAGAACATGTCAAAACAATATATACTTTTAAGGCCATAATTACTTTAGACCTTTTAAGGTCCAAAGATCTGAAGGAAAAAGCAGTAAATCAGGACAGCTCCACACTATGAGTCTACCACTGCGCCAAGCCAGGTCATATGAATTAATCCAGGAGAATTTCCTTCAGACAACTGCCTTATTGTTCTCCTCATCTTTAACCACACAGTGAGGAGCTGACCATACAGCAGCTATGTTCAAAGCCCAATTTAGTTGGCGTTTATTCCAATAGCGTGAAAGTAAATTTCAGAATAATACTACCTCTATACCTATAGGTGCTGCACATCAAAAGAAACTTGCCCCTGCAGCAGATGATTAAAGTTAAGATCAGGGGAGCCCTTTTGCAAGAGGTGTGCCAACAACTTTATTGAATTGAAAAGACTTTGCTAGAGTGACTCTGATGCCATCGAGGCCCGAGAGCAAAATCCAGGGCTTAAAGCAGCAAGCCGATCAATTACAGTAGTGGCACCAGCACGAGGGACTGAGGAATTGTTGGAACACAAAAAACAGCAGACACAGGGCACTCCAGGATCAAGAGCCACCGATTAGATCAACCACGTCACCCTGAAATACACACTAAGCCTGCACTCAAATACAAGCTCTGAAACCCCAAGTCTTGCATGAGAAGTCAAGGGACGTCAAAAATGTCTTCCACTTCGGGGCACATACCTGCGCTCAACCTGAACAGGCCAGATGTCTCCGTCTTGACTTGGGGGTTTAGAGGGCGTGTTTTCCAACTGGAAGCTTTCCAGAGTGCTCACTATCTCCCGGACATGTTTATTTTCATCATTTATGTCCTGCCACACCTGTAAAGAGAGACACTCGGGACTTAACGGCATGTACTGATTCTACAAGCTCCACTATTATACATTTTATCATTATCTTATTTCTTAGAACACAGCCATTGACTAACGTTCTAGTCTATTTCAGACCAAAGTGACCATAAAACCGCTTCATGTACTAGTTTTAAGCATTGCACTGCTCTTACAAAACACACTCATAACACAAGGAAACTTTATTTCACTGCTTATTAATTGTATCCAAAGGTTAAAAGTTAACTGTAACAATTCATTCGCACTTTTAATAATGCAGTACTGCTGAAAGTTGTGAAACTACAGGCGCCTCAAAGAACCACCTATTCAATTACAGTACTGTAACCTCATGAGCAAATAGCCCTTCACTGCCAACATTTCTTAGGATTGCTTCCATACAGTGGACACCTGAACAGCGCCCGTCTTGCACTCCCCCATGTAAATTTAGGCAAATCTGCTTTGGACTCCAATAATCCCGAAACCAGCCCTTGATGCCTGCGATAAGCAATGGTTTTGAGTAAAGGTGACCAGACGTCCCTCTTTCCGAGACCTTAAATATCGGTCCGACCGGAATTGATAAAACTGTCCGGGATTTTGTTTTGCTCGTTACTCAGACTGTGTAAACAGACAATCGGCATACAGGTTTTCCTTCCTTCCATGTATTACCGGTAGATGTTTTGTACTTACAAAAACCATTTGATGGCCATGAGAAATAGTTGAACGTGTTTCATTATATTTCAAAATGTTTTGTTAAACTTGATCATTTTTGCAACCAATGAGGACGATGTATTCATTTTTTCCTTAGATGTTAAGACTTTCGTTGGTTTTAAACAAGGCTGAATGTTTATTTTTCCTTGTTTGCCATTATGTAGGAGAAAGAGCACACCTGCAACTGTTTTTTTAAAAACTTACCAGGAAGTTTAATAAAAACTAGATTGAGCTTAAATTGATTTTGTAATCAGAAAGAACCATAAAGATTCATTAATTTGGAGGCATGTGTCGAGTGTAGATTATCCCCGCCCTCTTTTTAAAAACCGAAACATGGTCACCCTATTTTAAATAAACCTGAAACAGTGGTTACCTGTTGCCATTTGTGCTGCAAAGCGGCATCCTTGACTGCAAAAAGGTACTTCTTGATCTGCTCCAGCACGCCTTGGTAGCAGACCAGCGCGGAGCTGTAGTTCCCCAGCAGGGCGTACTCCCGGGCGAGCTTCACGTTCTCGCTGATTTCAAGCAGACTCATGCTGAACATCACCTACACGTGTGTGGGGGGGAGAGAGACCACACGCAGCGTCATCACCACCCGCCCCGTGTGGCAGACACTTGACTTGACTTGAACTTTATTGCCATATGTAACCCGGCCTCCGGAGCCGCTCGGTACCACCGCCCGGGCCAGGCGGACCCGGGCCGGGATCGGTCCCGGTTCCATCTCCACCTCGCCTCCAGACACGTGGGGAGGGACAGGCTGCAGCCCGTCACTAAAACTTCTGTTAAAAATGATCTTACGCCTCGAC